AAGGCATAGTGATCTTATGACATTTTGAGAAATCTTATTAATGTACTTCTTATGCATTTCATTAATGTATACATGTACATTGACCCATGACCAGATGACGTTATATACGCGTATATTATATGTATATGGGATTTGGGAAAAGGTTATGGCGTTATATACGCACCTCCACTTGATCAGCTGGTATATGTTGATGACTTTGCCCACAGTGGCTGAGATGATATGATGGGATGCCCTCAAAGGCTTGATGGTGTTATGTACGCATATACCTATGCATGGTATAACATTTATACGCACATGCATGACATTATAAATTTTCATGATTCATAGAGCTATTCAGAATTTCAGGTTGAGTTCTTTACTCCATGTTTCTTTCATGTCTTTTATAAACTACTGTCGCGCCTTACATACTCGGTACTTTATTTGTACTGACGTCCCTTTTGCCTGGGGATGCTGCGTTTCATTCTCGCAGGTCCCGATAGACAGGTTGAGAGTTCTCCTAGTAGACTATCAGTTCAATAGAAGGTGTTTGTGCACTCCACTTGCTCCAGAGTTGCCTATTTGGTCAGTATGATTTGAATATGCATTGATTGGTATGGCGGGGCTCTGTCCCGACCTTTATGATATTTATGTACTCTTAGAGGCTTGTAGACAGATGTCATGTATACGGATACTGGTATGGCGTGATAGGCCAGTACGTTATATGTATAAGTCGGTATATCAAGTTGGGTCACCCTATATTGAGTATTTTCTCATGTTTTATTCTAGTTATCTCACGACAGCCTCTCCGCCTCATTTACCTATGATAGTATGATACTAAAGATACGTTACGTTGGTACTCAGTTGAATAAGGTATCGGGTGCCTGTCGCCTCCCATCGATTTGGGTCGTGACAATGGCTAACAATACGGCAATTGCAATAAGAAAGAAAACATCAAGTATCAGCGGAATACCATAAAAATAACACAGAAAAGTGAATGGAACACAACCTAAATACGGAATCACATATACAGTAAGGACACGTAATAACTCAGCAACTACAACCGCTTTTACATCAGGTTTTAGTTAACAAACTCCACGAGGTACCGAACCTTGGACAAATCACAACTCACGGGTCTCAATACCTGAACCCTAACACTTGGCATCATGTGCCCTCATAATACCTCATAACCGCACTGACGACTCACGTGCCAATAGAGCCATTCTCACCTAGAAGGCAAGTAAACAAGGGTGAGCATCTATGCTCAACAATATCAAGAAAGCCTCTTATCCGATAAGAGTGCTTAACTACATGTATGTTTATGCCAGTGTCCTAACATAGTCCATACCAGCAAATAAGCATAAGGAAAAAGAATGGACAACACGTAGAATATTTTCTCACAACTTTCACGAGATAAAGCTCACACAGGTAAGTATACCACTACACAAATATCAACAACAAGAATGCCCCAGGCCATCACAAATCTTCACAAATCAATTCATAACATAGCCCACCTTGTCTCGCTACGTGTGCAATAATAAAGTAAGTGCCCGCCTTGTCTCGCCACNAAATATCAATAGTAACAATAGCACGTTAGAAACCTCGTGCAACCCCATAATAACAACCGCACGACAGAAATCTCGTGCATCACAATAACCACAACCACACGGCAGAAACCTCATGCATCACAATAACAACAACCGCACGGAAGAAACCTCGTGCATCACCACAATAAGTACAACAACAACAACAATGATAATAATACAAGGGTACGACAAATAAGTCAACTCAGGAATTCCTGAACTCAAAGAAACGGAGGAACTATGTCACAAGGATTAGCCACAATAGAGAATGCTAGTCATAATAAGAACATCTCAACAAGAAAGGAAATATTATGTAACAACGGTCCACAATGTACAATTCGACAACGAGGGAGCTAGCACAAGACGAATAATTCCAAATAAGGACAGGTCAACTAAAATATAGGATATCTAACTTCTTGTAAGGTTGGGAAATTAAGAGAGATACAACAACTTCAATTAAGGATAAGCAGTATAAGGATAATCATTTGCCTCAATTAAGGATGAACAATTACAGAAGAGATAATTAAAATTTCAGATAAAGATAAGCAGTTAGGGAAAAGATAACACGGTAATAGAAGATATAACAATTTCAGTTAAGGCACATATGGATCAAATGAACAACAAGAGTGGATCATGAAGCAATTAAATTCCAATTAAAGCATATAGAAGTGAAACTGGAAATTAAGAAGCGTAATCGTAATGAGAGCAACTGTATATTCAATGAATATAAGGACCTAAGAATCCCTAAAGGCTAATTTTCCACAAATAAGTCTGGGCACGTACTCGTCACCTCACGTATACGGACTACAATTAGCATAGAAGACTCAAATCATAAGGGGTAGTTCTCTCACACGAAGTTAGGCAAGATACTTACCTCAAAGAAGACAGACTGATACTCAAAAACGAACTTCTCGGGTGAAATAACCTCCGAGCGGCTCAAATCTAATCAAAATAACTTCAAAACACAAATAAAACTCATAAGAGACTATTCCGGATCATAAAGCCTCAATCTTTATCAAAATCTAAAAATCGACCCAAAAGTCGACCCCCTGACCCGTACTTCGGAACTAGACAAATTTTAAAAAATTCGAACACCCATTCCAATACGAGTTCAGCCATACTAAAATCATCAAATTCCGATACCATTTCGTCCCTCAAATCATGATTTTTCATTTTGAAAATTTTCTTCAAAAACCTCTTTTTTTCCCAACTCAAAACACAAATTAAATGATAAAAATAAAGATAAAATCATAGAATATAATAAATTCTAGGTGAAGTACACTTACCCAATCGATTTTCTTGAAAACCCCACAAGGAATCGCTCAAAACCGAGCTCTACAAGTCAAGATATGATAAAAATGGCCTAACCCTCGATTTGAAGATCTTATATTCTGCCTAGGTGTTTATGCATCGCGAACGCGGAAGAGCAATCGCGTTCGCGAAGAAGGAAAATGAAAACTACCCAGTTGTGCTTTGCGAACGCGACAACACGTTCGCGAACGCGGAGAGGAAAAGTCTGACGGCCCAACGACTGCTCTTCGCGAACGCGTGAAGTAGTACGCGAATGCGAAGAGTGGAATGGCATAGCTACGCGAACGCGTGGGATGAACGCAAATGCGATGAAGGAAAAGGTTGGCTTCTGCGATCGCGGAATGAGGAATGTGAATGCGAAGAAAAAATATTCTCTCCTCCAAAATTACTCATCGCGAACGCAGAGGAGCAAACGCGAACGCGAAGGAGAAAACCAAATGACAGATATTAGAAGTCCAAAAATAGAAGAAAATGGCCCGTAGCCCATCCGAAACACACCTGAGGCCCCCGGGACCCCGTCCAAGTATACCAACGAGTTCCATAACCTAACACGGACTCGCTTGAGGTCTCAAATCACATCAAATAATGTCGAAACTACGAATCGGACCACGAATTGAACTTATGAACTTTCAAATCTTCCAATTTCTAAAACCCGCACTAAAACCTATCAAACCAAATCGGAAAGACGTCAAATTTTACATGCAAGTCCCAAATAACATAACGGAGTTGTTCTAACTCTCGGAATCGCATTCCGACCCCGATATCAAAATGTCCACTTCCGGTCAAAATCTCCGAAAATTTTACTTTCGCCATTTCAAGCCTAAATCAGCTACAGAGCTCAAATTCACAGTCCGGACACGCTTTTAAGTCCAAAATCATCCAACGGAGCTAACGGAACCGACAGAACTCCATTCCGGAGTTGTCTTCACATAGTTCCGACTACGGTCAAAATCCTAAAACTTAAGCTTCCGTTTTAGGGACTAAGCGTCCCAAATCACTCTGAATCATCCGGTAACTGAATTCAACCACGCACGCAAGTCAATACACATAATACGAAGCTGATCAGGGCCTTATGCCGCCGAACGAGACTTAAATTCTCAAAACGACCGGTCGGGTCGTTACAGAAATAAACTTATGCCGATCTTTATCACGACCATCTACATATAACGCACTTTGGAGCTTAGTTATCTCAACATTTGCTTGATACAAATACTTTCTAGCAATTTCCTCGGAGTCGACATCATTTGCTGCTAAAGTCACAAGTGCAAACGACTCCTTCATTAAACCATTTAAGCAAATTGCCATAGAGGATTTTAACGGTTCCTTTTTTTGATGTACTCCTCAAATCCATTACCATGTTTAGCATTCTTTGTCCATCTTTTCAAAATGTATTGCCGAGGGATACAAGAAAAGTGTAAGTCAAAGAACAAAACTCTTAGTGCATGACAACATAGCCAACCCATGGATTCAACATCTGGCAACTACAAATAATTGATTTGTCAAGAGAATTGAACTGAACGATTTCAGTTTTCCCACTTTCACCCTTTAAAATTGTAAACTTACTACTAGGCCCATTACTCTCAATATTGACTACTTTTTTGGTTGTCCATTGCAAAAATTCATGTTGAAACCAGGAAAAAATTCTTCTGGTGTAAACACTAGCAGTATGCTTTAAGATCCCACAATCTTCTATGGAAAGTTTAGGTTTTCTTCGACACTTGTAATCCTCAGTTGCCTCAATATCACACATTTCAGTTTCCCGTTGCTCGTAGTGCTTTACAAATTCAGTTATACTCATTGTCATGCCATTTCTGTAAAGACCCTATTCGTGCTCTCACTTCTTTGAGTTGATCTGATACCCGCAGAGGAAAAAGAACGACTGAATGCGGGACACCACTTCGCCCTCAAGTCATATAGCTTCTGAAGCCAATTGTTACTCCAACAATTTCATGCCAATCTTAAAAGCAAAGTTCTTGTCGATATTATACACATTATGTATCGTTGTGGAATTTTCCTCATTATTTGCATTATGATCTTGGTAAGAAACAGGAGCAGTAGGCACTGTCTTAGTCCCCAAAGCAAAATTAACTCCACCTCTAGCCACTGGTACAATAGTTTATGTTGTTTCAGGAATCCCCTGTCAACAAAAACAAATCCCTCTTAGAACACAAAATTAGAAAACAAACTTATCTTTCTATAAATCTTTGGTGCAAATTTGGTCCACCATCTCATTTTAGCACTAAAAGATTACCTTGATACCAAAAGTTCATGCTGATCTTATTTTAAATTTATAGTAAACAATATTTTTGTATCGATATATTTGTTTTGTAGGTATGGTAGCAAAATGGATCAAATGCAAGTGTCTCAATGTCAGTGGGCACAAATTTGTATTTATGTACCAAAATAAGGAGCATTTTATTAACAAGAAGACATAAATTTTATATTGACAAGAGTATTTTGGGAGCACAATTTTGTATTTCATACTGATATGGAAAAGAAGAGTATTTAGTGAGCACAATTTTGTATTTCATATTGATATCGATGAATAACTTCTAAAGATTCAGTTTTAAAGGTTTGGCAACTGAAGATGAATTTGGAAAGATATAAACTATGATAATTAAAAAAAACAAGAAGAAGAAAGATATATAGAAAATGTATATGGAGTATTACATTTGGATAGAATATCGTTTTCCTTTGAATATAGATTTGATGTGGCCTTCGTTAGACTATGTTGATCAACACAAAGTGGTGAGAAATTTTGTTGGAGTCTATTGTCTATTGTGATGACAAAAGTTGGTAATTAAGGAAGGAAAATGGTTTCCATGTTTTTTCTTTCCCTCTATTTCTCTTGTACTATCTATTAAGTTTTCTATCATCTACAAATTCACTTTTTCTCTTTATTTATTTAAATTAATCCAATGTCAGCAAATGGACCCCACATTTAACCAGTTGAGGACATTCAATGAATAAATGGCCCTCTTCTGAATGTTCATTTGTCAGATAAAGTACCATTGCCGCGAGAATGACAGTTGCAGCTGATGGCCCAAGATCGAACAACTTAGAGCAGTAAGGAGGCATTTCGTCAAGCATCTGGTCCATAAGGTTTGACTGTGTAGCTTCTACAGCTGATGCAAGTGCAGCAACAAAGACCCCTACAGTTGCTGGTTCATTATCAAGACATTTGAGCCAACTTTGAACAGCTCCAGACAGTGTCACTAGAGATGGTGTTTGTCCAGTATCAAGACAACGACAATGGTACATGGAAAATTGATGTCCATATTGAAGGTTTAAGATGCTTTGAAGGAAAGCTGCATTTCTACTCAATCCCTCTGTCTCAGTAGATATTCGACAATCGTGGTAACTAAGAGAAATTAAAATCGACTCCTTGTTTGCAAACAGGAAAATACACTCATGGTTGTTTTTTTGAAAATTTCCATCAAACACTTGGTCTGCAAAAGCCCCTGCTCGATCTCCCATCCCAATTGCCAACATCTCAACAAACATACTATAGCGAAAATTCCATAGAAGACTATTATCAAACACCAGTGCTACACTTTCAGATATAAAGTCCATTTGCTGAACTAGGATCAAATGGAAAATGAAGTAACGTATGTTGCGCAGTCACAACTTTAGGCATCATCCAGTACCTATACAGTCTATTAGATTTAGGCATTTGATCGAACAGGTTGTAAGCAACTCTAGGTCGCTCAAAATGTAAACAAAATTCCATCGGACCGTTGAAGGAAACAATACCCAAATTAGGTTCTTGAAACCAAGTACGGCAGCCTGAATAAATTCTACCTTAGAGTATGTGAAAACAGTAGCAATAGGTAGAACTTTGAAACCCTCTAGTTCTGGAAATGTATCCCCACCTTTAATAACAAGAGATTGTGGATCAAGAGCTTTTGAGGTTTTGTAGACTAAATCAAAGTCACTCTCATTGACACCAACCAACGCAACATTGTCTGGTTCATCATCCACAGTGGCCTCCTCCGTTGTTGTCTCTGCCAAAATTGTTGGGTCCAATTGCAACTCTTGCAGCACTGACCCCATGTGGCTAAAATTAGAGAGCATACGGGAGTTACTTTCTTGTAACTCTATCACTAAATCATGTACGGTTTTGATGGAAGTGTAGATCTTCTCCGAGGGACGATGAAAGCACTAATGTAATGAAGGGGAATTGTATTGATAAGGAGAATTGAAATCGTGTACATTAATATAAGAGTTCTATCTTAAAACACATTTACTCCAAATTAGTAACCAAATCTTCCAAGAGAAGAAGAAACAGAAAAGGAAGAAGGGAGTGAGTTTCGAGAGTTAATCTAACCAACTAAGAAAATAAAGAGACGACTTCATAGAATGCATCCTAATTGATTATGTTTCTCTTCAATATATAGGCATCTTTCCGGAGTCCTTTTCGGAGTTCCAAAGGTAATTTGTCAACTCTTCAAATGTGTTTCCACCGTACCCACATTTGTTACAATAGTAGTACAGAATAAGAAGGAAAAATAATAATTCTGCTTGTTCAAGATTTTCGGTGGAGATGTAGTGAAAAGAAAAACTCATGGCAATAGTAAAATTTATTTATACGAATTGAATTATTAAAATTCTAATATATATAAGTATAGTTTTAAATAATAATAATAATAATAATAATAATAATAATAGTAATAATAATGATATAATTAGAATAAAAGGTGAAAAATTTAAAAATCTCTATCGGGAAATTGAATCATATGGATTTTTGAATAGTGAAATTTGAAGAGATGCCTGATGAACAGAATAAGTACTGGGATTCTTGTTAAACGATTTATAGCCACACAATTACTTGATATATTAAAAATAATCTGATATTAATTAATTTTCATGTTGCAACTAAATAGAAATAAAGAAAGCAAAACAAGAAAAGGTATAAACTATTTTAAAAGAGCTTTAGAACTGGGTAATGAATTTTATTCTTTCGTCTGAACTAATGTTGGCAAAATCATAACACAACATTTTAACAATTTTAGTATATAATTATAATTTCTTTACCTTTTGCGCGCGCCAGATTGTGTACCAATAGAGTTTCAATAATTAGTTACACACTTTGGTCGATCAGACGTTGGAACTAGTTAATGCTACCACACTAGAGTTGGAATAATAGTGAATACAATTCTATCGAGAAGATAATTTAAATGTCTATTTATGGTATTTTGTAATTTGTCATTAATTGTCCATATATACAGAAACAAAATACTCCTAATTATGCTGTATTAATGCTCTCTTGTTTTAGAAACTATATGAAGTCATCAATACGATTTTCCTTTTTGTTTTCACTCTATTCAAAACACAGTGTGAAAATGAAAATTTATAAGCCGGTGCAACTTTAAAACAGCGTAACACTGTCGACGAAAACTACATATATAAGCACGAGCCCATTACCGTTGTTGCATACATAACTCTTTTCTGAAAGCAAAAAATAATAATTTATAGGTATATACATCGAGAATATGGCAAAAGAAATGGAGCAATATCAATGGGGAGTTGGTTCAATATTGATGATGCTAGTCGTGGTGATTTGTCTTCTCGTTCTACCATTGTTTATGGGTCCACTTCAGCCACCTTCATTAATCTTTGTCCTCCTCATTTTCCCTCTTGCAATGGCCGCCATTTGGATTTATCTCTCATATGCCTCCAACTTTGAATAATTAAATACTACTGGGCAGTTTTGCTTTATACATATATGTTAGTTATATTACAGGATGAGTGAAGCGAACTATCACAAGTATGACAATGATTAGTTATAATTTTCATTATGTACGACAGAAAGAAATGAAAACGATGTGAGTCGCCAAGTATTTTTAATGTATTAAATTGCAATGATTTGTTTTCTTACATGTATCCTATTATAATTTTGACCTTTGTGATTGCTATTCTAATTGAAAATTATATATATCTTAGCTCTTAACTTTTTGTGAATGATGATCCATTTACTCGCTGTTAATGACATTTTTGGATTTAAAGCAAGAGAAAGAGAGGGAAAAAAAGTCTATAAATCATCTTTGCATATGATGTTCCTAAAGTTAAAATTCTATTTGAAATTTTAATATCTAACAATCAGATTCACTGATGCTGTCCTTTAGTACTGTAATATGGCCAAATTTTTATGACATTTGCTATGATATAATATCCATTATAACAAATTTGTGGTTCATGACATTTGCCATGACATAATATCCATTATAACAAATTTGTGGATCATGACATTTGCCATGACATAATATCCATTATTAAGCCAAAGATTTCTTGCTATAAATAGAGGAGCTTCTCCTCATTTGCAAACACACCAATTCAAGAGCTTTTCACTCTTGTCTTTCTTTCTCCTCCTCCTTTATTTCATTATAGAGTATTTTGTAAGAGAGTGAGTGTTGGGAAACACTTGTGTGAACCCTTTCTTTGGAGTGATTTTGTGAGGTTATTCTCTTGGGGTATTTGGGATTAATTAGAGTATTTACTCTAATTTTGTACTCTCTTTTGTACTCTTGTTGGTATAGTGAAATTGCTCATCTCCGCTTGTGGGCGTAGGTCACCTTGACCGAACCACGTTAAATTTGTGTCTTCTTTATATTCTTTAATTGTTGTTATTATCAACTTCCATTGTCTTTGTTATTGTCATTATACCGTTGTTGGGCTAAATTTCGTACTACCCGAATTTTCGATCCTAACAAATTGGTATTAGAGCCAGATCTAACCGGGTTATTTTTAATAGCCAAAATGACTCTAACAAAGTCTTATGTTGAGAAATTTGACCGAAGTGCAAATTTTGGAATGTGACAATTAAAGATAGAAGTTATCCTAATTCAGGATGGCTTAGATTTGGCACTGCAAGGAAAGGAGAAGATGTCGGATAAAATAACAGACGAGGAGTTTGCCGTCATAGACAAAAAGACAAAAGCAGGTATTGTTTTAAATCTTTCAAATGAGGTTTTGCGTGAAGTTGCAGCAGAAAGCTCAGCCAAAAGCATATGGGAAAAGCTTAAAACCCTATATATGAAAAGAACAGTAGAAAACAGGTTTTACCTAAAGCAAAAACTCTATACGTTTCGTATGGCTGAAGGTAACTCTATACTTACTCATCTTGATACTTTTGATTCTCTTCTTATGGATTTAAGTAACATAGATGCTGAAATCAAAGATGGGGATCAAGCTGTGTTATTGCTTGTTTCCTTACCCCAGTCGTTTAAACATATAAGAGATACTATGCTTTATGGAAAGGATAATATCTCTTATAAAGATATCAAATCTATTTTGAAATCAAAAGAACAAATAGATAGAGATATTACTGGGGAAACTAGTGGGAACCAAGGGGAAGGCTTATTCATAAGAGGTAGATCCAATAAGAAAGATTCAAATAGTGAGAAACCTAAATCAAGGTCAAAATCCAGATGCAGAAATGTCATGTGCAAATATTGTCATAAGAAAGGTCACATTATTTCTGAATGCTTT